CAAACCAACTGCCTATCACAAGTTGGTAGAGTTACTCTCTCATAATTAGTCCTATCTCCAATTCCTTTATTTCAAATGCAGACTAGTGGTCTTCTTTATGCTGTGTGTATGGAAGTTGAAAAAATTCAAAAAAGGTTTATCTAGGGCGATACAAATAGCAGAAGGCGCATGCATCAAGTTGGCTGGGATATAATTACGAAATCAAAAATAAAAGGTGGTCTTGGACTGAAAAAACTTATTTTCATGAATGAGGCTTTCATGGAAAAACTTGCCTCGTCAGTGTTTTCTCAAACCCATGCATGCCCTTTGGGTTCAAGTTCTGAGGGCTAAATATGTAAATGACAGAGATGGTCCTATCATGTTTAAAGCAAAAAAGGGAGACTCCAATATTTGTAAACAGACCTGCAACGCTTGGAGGAAACTTGAAGATTTGTTAGTGTGGGAGATTGGGGATGGTAATTCAATCCTCTTCTGGAAAGACAAATGAGCCAATAACTTAGGAAGGCTTTTGGATCAAACCTTGATTCCTTTACTGTGGGAATAATCTAATAAAACCATCAATCACTATATTGATGATTTAGGCGGCAAAAAAATTAAAATATTATTTTTTTAATAACTAATTACGAATAGATAGCAGTTTGGAAACTATATTCAAATTTATTGTAGTCATTCATGCCCAAATTAGGCGTGACTATTCATGCCTAAGTTAGGCGTGACTCCCAAGGCATTCACGCCTAAATTAGGCGTGCCTCGTCTGGTGTTGACACATGACACAAAAAATTAATAGTTTAACCGTAAAACTTTATAAGACCATAACTTTTGACTCGGGTATCCGAATGAGTTAATTCTTTTTTTGATTCTACGTAACTTTTCGAGATCTACGCAATGACATCTCGTTTGATATATTTTATCTCTCACAAACACAATTCAAATTTACAACAATGGTACTATAAAGATTGTACCAAAGTGGATTAACTCATCTATAAATAAGATGACACCAAACTTTCTATTAAATACAAAACGCAATTAGCTCCTATTAAATACAAAACACAATCAACTCCTATACCATTAAATTCAAAATTCAAATAACCACCAGCAAATTTATTTGAATTGGCGACAATCTGTAACCAACTCATAAAATTACAACGCAATCATCTTCTATTAAATACAAAACACAATCAACTCCTATTAAACACAAAATGCAATCAACTTATTGGAGAGGTTATTTGAATTTTGAATTTAATGTTATAGTACCATTATTGGGCATGAATGAGTAATATATTCGTAATTAGGTTCAAAATGGCAACTTATTCGTAATTATTTATTAAAAAAACAAGTGTTTACAATATTTATTTAATTATTTTCTTTATTAATACAGATTTTTCAAATTGTTTTTTGAGTTTAAATCACAAATTAAATCTTTATTTTATTTTTCTTATTGATAATAATTTTTTAAATTTTTTTTATAATACACTATATAATACAATTATTGCAAATTTGAATTGTGTTTATGAGAGATAAAATATATCAAATGAGATGTCATTGAGTAGATCTCGAAAAGTTACGTGGAATCAAAAAAATAATTACCTCATTCGGATACCCGAGTCAAAAGTTATGGCTTTTCAAAGTTTTACGGTTCGTAAGATGACTTTTTTTTGCCACGTGTCAACACCAGATGATTCACGTCTAAATTGGACGTGAATGACTGCAATAAATTCGAATATAGTTCCAAACTGCTACATATTCGTAATTAATTATTAAAAGTGTAATATTTTAAATTTTTTTTCCTGATTTAGGCAAGTGGAAGGTGGATGAATTAGGGAGGTGGCTGCCACCTAATGTCATCATCAGCCATATCAGGAACGTCTTTTCTCCTAGTTGGAATGATGGGCTGATAGGCTTATTTGGAGGATTTCTGGGTTCCCTAGGCTGTCGGTTCAATTTTGTGAACAACGTGAATCCCTTGATCTTTGGAAAGCAATATAGAAATGGACGGGTCCGCAAAGAATCAATTTTTTTCTCTGGAAGGTTGGGCATGATAGAATTCTTACCATAAGTAGATTAAGCAAGATGCACATAGGAGATTCAATCTGCCAAATGTGTAACCAAGGAGCTGAAAGCATCTTACATTTATTGCGTGATTACCCAATCATCAAAAACTTATGGATGCAATTAGCTCCTCATTTGGCTGGTTCACCTTTCTTTTCTTTCAATTTTCAGGTTTGGCTTTTCGTGAATTTTGTAGTTCAAAAAAGTAATTAACTGCGGTAGCTATTTTTAACGGCTCATTTTATTATTAAAGCTGAAACCAAATTTAAATACAAACTGAGCTCTTTCAAATATTGCCTACTAACTAGCTGATTTTTTAGTCCACCAAATCAGCAACAAACTAATAGAGCAGTAACAAATTAAAATGCAATTAAACACTCCTAAAATAAGGCTGACCAAATAAAAAAGGAACAACTAATTAACTCCTAAAAAATAGGACAGCAACAGTAGCCTTGATACATCAACACTCTCCTCCTGGATCAAGTGCTACACACTCCTAGCTTTGCTCTAAGAAGTTCAAATCGATCAACATGAAATGACTTGGTGAATATATCTACAATTTGGTTTTCTGAACTGCAATACACTAGCTTCACCTCTCCAGCCTTCTGCACTTCCCTTAAGAAATAATATTTGATCTTAAAATGCTTTGTTCTTTCATGAAATACTGGATTCTGTGAAATGGCTAGAGCAGCTTGATTATCCACAAATACTTTTATGCCTTCTTCTTGTTCAAAATGCAGATCATCCATCAGCTTCTTCAACCATAATGCTTGATTCACAGCTGCAGTAGCTGCAATGAACTCAGCTTCTGCAGTTGATTGAGCCACTATTTCCTGCTTCTTTGAACACCAAGAAAAACATGCCGACCCAAATGTAAAACAATAACCTGAAGTACTTTTCATATCATCCACTGATCCGCCCCAGTCACTGTCAGAATACCCCTGCAACTTAAACTCCTGAATTCTGCAGAACTTAATTCCATATGAAAGAGTACCCTTCAAGTATCTTAACACCCTCTTTGCAGCCACCATGTGCAGCTCACTTGCACAATTAAGAAATCTAGACAAGACACTTGCAATAAACATAATGTCTGGCCTAGTTGTAGTGAGATACATAAGGCAACCAATTAAACTTCTATAAACTCTTTCATCTGCAGGATCTGATCCATCTTTCTTTTGAAGCTTTTCCTTCTGACCCATTGGAGTACTTACACTCTTGCACTTCTCCATGTTGAATCTCTTCAGGATCTCCTTCAAGTACTTCTTCTGACAGATAAAAATTTCATTCTCAGTTTGCCTAACCTCCATCCCTAGAAAATAAGACATCTCACCAAGATCAGTCATTTCAAACACTTTCATCATTTCTTTCTTAAATGCAGTAATCTGAGAACTATTGCTCCATGTCACCAACATATCATCCACGTAAAGAGACACCACCACTAAGTCAGATACTAACTTCTTGACATATAAAGTGGATTCACTAAGGCTTTTCTTGAAACCTAAACCCAGCAAGTGTTCATCCATCTTACAATACCATGCTCTGGGAGCTTGCCTTAAGCCATAGAGAGTTTTTTTCAGTAAATACACCTTCTCCTCCTGACTTGGTGTGACAAAGCCTTCTGGATGATCAACATAAATCTCCTCCTTCAACTCTCCATTCAAAAATGCAGATTTCACATCTAACTGATACACTTTTCATCCTTGTTGAGCTGCCAAAGCAAAAGTCATTCTAATTGTATCCAATCTTGCAACCGGAGCAAAGGTTTCTGAGAAATCAACTCCCCAAACCTGTGAATATCCTTTCACTACTAACCTGGCTTTATGCTTATTCACTGAGCCATCAGGATTGAGTTTGGTCCTAAAAATCCATTTTACTCCAATCATTTTCCTGTCTTCAGGCCTTTCCACTAGCTCCCATGTCTGGTTCTTTTCTATCATAGCCAGCTCTTCCTTCATAGCATTCATCCACCTCTGATCACTTTTAGCTTCCTCATAACCTGAAGGTTCCAAAACAGCTACATTGCACCTCTGATATATATCATTTAGAGATGTAGTACCTCTAACTGGAACATCATCTACTAGCTCATCAGATTCCAGTGAGACCTGCTTGTGCTTGGCTTGTGGCTCATCTATCCAATCTTATTGCTCATCTTCTAGGAACTGAACATCCCTACTAGTGATCACCTTCTTTGTTTGTGGTTGATAGATCTTGTAGGCTTTTGACACTAGACTGTAACCAACAAAGATCCCAGGTTCAGCTTTCTCTCCCAGCTTGTCTCTCTTAACCTGTGGAATGTGAGAAAAACACACACAACCAAACACCTTCAAGTTTCTTAGAAATGGCTTGAAACCAAACCAAGCTTCAAAAGGTGTCTTCTTCTCCAATACCCTTGTGGGCAGTCTATTCAATAGAAAAACTACTGTGTTTGCTGCTTCTGCCCAAAAATCCTTTGGTAGATTCTTCTCATGCAGCAGACACCTAGTCATCTCCATAATGGTTCTATTCTTTCTCTCACTAACTCCATTTTGCTGTGGAGAATAAAGAGCAGTAAGTTGATGCTCAATTCCAGCTTCTTCACAGAAAAAGTTAAACCTCTGAGAAGTGTATTCTGTTCCATTATCAGATCTGATGACCTGAATTTTGCAGCCACTTTGAGTCTCAACCCATCTCTTAAACTTTAGAAATACCTCAGCAACTTCTAACTTTTGCTTCATGAAATAAATCCAGCACATTCTGGTATAATCATCAATGAAAATAAGAAAATACCTGCTTCCATTTAATGAAGGAGTCACGTGAGGACCACAAAGATCTGTGTGAATCAATTGCAGCTTCTCTGTAGCTCTCCAAGTGGATTCTTTAAAAGGAAATCTTGTCTGCTTGCCCAATAAACAGGCTTTGCACCTTGTGATCTGCTCCTCCATGATTGGTAACCCAGTTGCCATTTCATTCCTCTACATGAACAACAATCCTTTGTAATGAAAATGCCCTAGCCTTTTGTGCCACATCTCTGAATCACTGGCCTGACACTTGAATGCCACTTGCTCCTTCTCAAGAGGATTTAGAGAAAAACTCTTCTGTTGCATCTTTATCCTGAATAGCTCCTGACCACTAGAGTCAATGATCAAACACTTCCCCTCTTCAAATGTCACTTTAAATCCCTTTTCTACCAACTGCCCTACACTCAGCAAATTCTGATCAATATCAGGTACATACCTCACACAAGAAAAAGCTTAGTTCCAGCACAACTCTCTATTGCTACAGTCCCTTTACCTTTCACTTCTAGGTACTCCCCATTTCCAATTATCACTCTTGACTTTAATGACTTGTCAAGGTCTATAAATAGCTTTTCATCACTTGTCATGTGGTTTGTGCAACCACTATCAACAAGCCAACTGTCACATGGAGTACTAGAGGAGAAACAAGATGCAACAAACAATTGATCTTCCTCATGCTGCTAGACTGCAGCTTGTACCTCACCTTGCTGATGATCTCCTTTTTCTTTGCAGAACCTCTCAATGTGTCCAAGCCTATGAAATTTTCTGCACTTTATATCTGGCCTCCTCCAACACCTGAAGTCTGGATGATTATGTTTTCCACAGTGCTTACATGATGAATACTTTCCCCAATTGTTCTTGGAGTTGACTGCATTGTTCTCTCCTGCAGCAACTTCTGAACCACTACTGCCATCTCTTCTTACATTATGCTGTTCTTTGGCCTTCAAAGCTCCTTTTATACTTCTTTCAAGCCTCATTAACCTTCTCTGCTCTTGTGCTTGCAGAGCACTTAGCAATTCTGTCAACTTGATCTGAGACAAATCCTTGGTATTCTCCAAAGAGGCAATGGTTGCCTCAAATCTTTCAGGCAAGAAAACAAGAATCTTTTGCACTAGCCTATTATCAGAGAGGTCAGTGCCTAGAATTTTTGCTTGATTTGCAATACTTATCAACTTATCAGAATGCTCCTCAATTGTCTCAGACTCGTTCATCTGTAGTCTCTCAAATTCTCTGATCAGATTCAGCCCCTTCATGCTTCTGATCCTTTCATCTCCTTGATACTCAGCTTTGAGGAAGTCCCAAATAGCTTTGGCTGATTCACAAGCCATAATTCTGCTGAAAATGGCAGGTGAGACAACACTATATAAACAAGACTTTGCCTTTGCTTTCCTTGTTATCTTTTCCTTGTGAAACTTGATTTGATTGATGGTTGGATTTTCAAGAAGGGGAGCAACTTCATAATCTTCTTCTACAGCTTCCCAAAAATCACAACCCTCTATATAGGCTTGCATTCTCACTGCGCAGGCTTGATAATTTTCTCCATCAAATGCTGGTGGAGCCATTGCTGAAAAACCACTCGATCCTCCCTCCATCAATTTCACAAGTCACTCACAGCCCCTTAAGATCAAGAAAGCTCTTGATACCAATGTAGTTCAAAAAAGTAATTGACTGCAGTAGCTATTTTTAACGGCTCATTTTATTATTGAAGCTGAAACCAAATTTAAATACAAACTGAGCTCTTTCAAATATTGCCTACTAACTAGCTGATTTTCTAGTCCACCAATTCAGCAACAAACTAATAGAGCAGTAACAAATTAAAATGCAATTAAACACTCCTAAAATAAGGCTGACCAAATAAAAAAGGAAAAACTAATTAACTCCTAAAAAATAGGACAACAACAGTAGCCTTGATACATCAATAAATTTAAATCAAATGGTGTCAAGGTGTTTTGGCATTCCTTGGTCGTTGATCTTCAGGATTACTTACTGGAAAGCTTGGACATGGAGGAATGAAGTTACTCACAATTTTGGAACGATGCACAACAGATACAAGCCTGGACTAATTAAGTAAACAGTAATGGAAGTTATTTTGGCATATTCATCTAATGATAGGGAGTCAAATTGCAGATCCTTATACATGGATTTAATTAGGCGAATTCCTCCGGAGGATGGATGGATCAAAATTAACACAGATAGGGCGTCTAGAGGTAATCCATGAATGGCTGGTTGTGGAGGCTTAATTAGAGGCCCTAATGGTAAGTTGCTGAAAGCTTTTTCTTACATAGTAGGCTACTGCAATGCAATTACAACTAAGTTGTGGGGAATTTTGATAGGGCTTGAACGAGATTGGAAAGGTACTTGGACGAAAGCAATTTTAGAAAGTGATTCAACTTATACTATCACTTTGCTCACCAAATCCTGTGATGCATCATGTGAGTCTCATTTAATGACTCGTATATGAGAATGACTCTCAAAAAATTAGAATATTTGTCTCATTCATTCATTCAAAGAAGATAATATGAGATATTCACAAAAAAAAAAAAAAAGATAATATGAGTGCGGACTAGTTAGCTAATCTTCCTTTGGAGAATTTAGATTAGGATGATTTTATTATTTTTCAGTCCCCCTCCGAGAATTAGGTGATTGTAATTTTCTAATGTTAGTTTTGTGCATAGAGCTAGACATTATCTGATGTTATATTTTTGTTCGTTTTTTGGGATTTAGCCCTCTCACCCAAAAAAAATTATTATAAATGTCCGATAATAAATTATGGTTAGAGAACCTATCCAAAAAAAATGGTTAGAGAAAAAAATTAAAGTTAAAAAATAAGTAAAAACTGAGAATATAAATAAATAATTGAGAAAAGTTAATAGTTTCATCCAACGAATTTTTTTTATGATATATGATTTTTCATTTTATCAATATGATAAATAAATTCATTATAGCTTAATCCGGATGCCTAGTTTAATATTTTTTATTTGCCTGTCTTATAAATAAATTAGATTAATACAATTCCCAAACACATTACATAGAGATAGAATTTGGATCGCTTACAAAAAAAAAAATTTTGAATCAGGTACAGTTCAATAAAACAACTGCACCTCCTGGAGTTGTTGAGTTATTGGTTAAGAACTTCCATTATATATTTGATTTTAACATTTTATTACGAAATAACATTTTTAAAAGTTAAGATCCTCTCCTGCTTTTTAGTAACTGCGAATATATCCTGATGCATAATATTATACACGAGAATGATATGTCCTTAATTTTTGTTTTCTTAAAAATTACTCGCATCATTATTTAATTGCGAATACGCGTGGAGGTCATAATAATCTTCATTAAATACACAAGTAAACGAGTTCATTAACGTTCAATGACAGGCGAGGAAAGGAAGAAAGTTGAAAAGGAAAGGAACACGATAATATATATATATTATTACTTATATTATAATACTAATCTGTTAAATAAATTAAGTATAAATATATTATTACTTATATACTTTAAAGATAAATTTAAGTGTGTAGAATTTATTTATTTATTTATTTCAAAAGCAAAATCAACACGCCTACAGCTGTCACCTAATACATAATTTCTGGAACAGAGTAAGCATCAGTAGGTCCAATGAGTAGGCGATACGCGTTTCACAAAAATCTGAATAGGATATGGTGACATGGTATTATCTGATTTTTTTTTTTTTTTTTTGATAACAGTATTATCTGCTTTTTTGTAATAGTTGCTTCTATCTTACATGTTACATCCTTATCTAGTACAAGTTTTAGTATTAATGAAAATATATTTATATTTTTCTGTTATTTTTGTATCACTGCTTATCACTTAAATAAACAAATTTTATATTTTGTTTTTATTTTTAAATGTTAATTTTATCTTGTGAGATGTATAGTTAAATTAATTTTTAACCCGTCATTTTCATTGACTGTACCAATAGAAGTCATCATTTTTTTCTTCAATTTCTCCGGTCTCGACTTTAAGAATCATTTTTTTCATTATCTGTTCTAGAGAACCTCCTAAAGTTCCAACGAAAGAGATGAAATAATTTTTTTAATTGAAGTAACGAGGTAGTTATTTGTATTTGAAATTTTCTCTTCAATCCACCATAGAATCTATCTCTTACGTGTCAAGCGATGGATGAAGATATTTGTAAGTGTTTTTTATATTTACATCCATTTTAAATTTATCACTCTAATTATTTATTTGATTATTTTTAAATTAATTTGAAATTAAAAATAACTAATTTTTAATTGTTAATTTTAAATTAATTCAACGATAATTAAACAAATAATAAGAATGGTAAACTTAAAATATGTATTGTTGTGTTATGAAGCCCAACACTTAACAACCCTTTTAGAATTAGGGCGTGCATGACAACTATTCTATTCCCTAGCACTGTTTCTAAAAAGAAATAATTTGTTTCTATTTCTGTGCCATGGAATAGTTTCTGAGACAAAAATGTGTTTGATAACATGTTCTATTTTTATTCCGAGAATGAAAATTGTGTTTGATAACACAACAAATAATATAATAAAAAATAATTCCTATTAAATATAAAAAAATTCTGGATCGTCACTTTCCTTTCCACATGGTGTGGAGGTGGAGGTGGCGGCAGCGGCGGCGGTACGATAGTGGTGGTGGCAGTGACGTGATGAAGATAGTGGTGGTGATAGTGACGGCAGTGGTAATGGTGGCGGCGGCGGTGGAGGTGACGGCAGTGATTGTGACAATGGTGGTGGGTATGGTGGTTGGTGGCGGCAACAATGGTAGCAGTGGCATGGTGGTGGTGGTGGGAGTGGCTACGGCGGTGGTGGTGGGAGTGGCTACGGCGGTGGCGATGACATGGTGATGGTAGTGGCGGGAGTGGTGTAATGGTGGCGATGGGGGTGGTGGTGACGGTAATGACTGTGATGATGGTGGTGGTAGTTGATGGTAGCGTCAACGACGACGATGGTAGTGACGGTAATGGCTGCAGCAATAGTAGTGGTGGTTGGTGATGTGGTGGTGATGGTAGTGGTGGCGTCGTGGTAGTGGTAGTGATGGCGATGGGGGTGGTGGCAGTGGTGTGTGATGGCGATGGTGGCGGTGACGGCAGTGGTTGCGATGATGGTGGTGGTGACGGTGATGGTGGTGGTGGCGGTGATAGTGGTGGTGGTGGTGGTGGCGGCGGCGGTAGTTGTGGTGGTGGTGAAGGTGGTAGTTGTGGTGGTGATAGGTGGAGGTGTGGTGGTGGCATCGTGGTGGTGACGACGACAGTAGTGGTATGATGGTGGAGAGTGTTTGAGAGGGATAATTGTTTCTCATTTTGTGCCCGGGAACAAAAAAGCAGAAATTTTTTTATTCTTTTTTCTGTTCCCCAGCACAAAAATTAAACCGGTTCATCCCGGGAACAAAAAAATAAACCAATTTTACCGAACGAGTTTCCTATCCATTTCTGTTCCCGGGAACAGAAATTAAAAAAAAAAGTTGATTCCGGGAAGGTTGTCATGCACACCCTTAAGTAGCTCGGCTTTCATTAGTGCGGTCTACGAAAATCTTGTGAATAAACAACAAACGAAAAACAAAATAGAGAGGATAAATAAAAACAACAAAATTTAACATGAAAAACTTCTTCAGTGTAAAGAATAAAAATCTTGGGACCGAGTCCATAAATTATCCATTATAAAAAATGAGATTACACAATAATTTACTCTGACTCAATAATTAAAGGACTTTACCATCTAAAAAGATGATGACTCATAAGGTTCCTCACACAATATTTTCCATGTGTAAAAAAGATAAAGATCCTACTCTATTTTCTCTCTTCGGAAATATTGTAGGTTTCTTTCTCAAAAAATCTTCATCTCTAACGCGCTTTGTTCTATGTGTTTCTCTCTCTTCGCATCACTAAACAATGCAGCTAAGCATATATTTTAAATAATAAATTAAGGCATTCATCAATTTGGGCCGATTTCATCATGGCCTACGGACCCAATAAGTTTAACATTCCGCTATATTCTAACCCCAATTACTAATGAACTATTAAAATAATAGCGTTTAAATCCTCAAAATGATTTTTGGGGCACAACTTAATAATTATTATAGTGCTCGATTCAGAATTAATCTTGTATCAACGGGGTTCATTTCTCCACTTGCTCGGATCATGAAAATGTTCATATAACTTTTCTGAAAGAAATAATTAGGGTTATTGAATAAAAAAATGTGAAGTATATATTCTTCTAAAAAATTAGAAATACAAAAAATTATATAACACTAAATAAAAAAAGTGAATGAAATAAATATAAATACGTGCATGAATGATATGTTTTGGATGGATGTTACATGGAGTCTATTGTACTGTAGGAGTAATGAAAAAAAATGTTTTAAAAATATAATATTTCGAATGAAAGTTTTTCATCACGAAATAATTATATACCTTAAATTATACACTAGTGTGAAAATTTTACTTATTTAACATTAATCCATCGTTCCCAGATCCATCGAAACAATGTAGCCTATTTTATTTTATTTTTTTTTAAAAAAAAATCTTCCAACGCTGTTGCTTTAAAATCAA